TAGTCAACCGTTTTCAAGATTTGAAACAACAGTACATGCGGTGTTAATTGTGAACATTATGTCGGAACATACTTCCTTGACTTGATTATGAATTAAGCGAACAGCTTCCGTGATGGAACCAGTCTTCCAGAGCAGTCCCGTAAGTTGAGTTTGTTGTACCTTGCAACATATTCACGTTGCCCAACATCCCTCGCAGGACGTTCGTGGCACCTCTCAGAAGTGCTCGAGGAGCAGGCGCCAGTTGCTGCTAAACAATTATCAGGAACCCCACAATGAAGCTGGATGACTCAGCACTGATCTTGAAGATCAAAATTTCCCAAAAAACGCAAACTATGTTTTAAAACTCGACAAAATCGGGATTTGCGACGTGCCCCCTTTCTCCCAAGATCAGAATCCCTCCCACCTTGGTTCCTTGGCTCCTTGGCTCCTTGGCCCTGGCGCAGGTTCACCACTAGCAGGTTTGAACCCAAGGCTCTTTGGATGCATTTGGTGTATGCTTTGCGGCTTTTGTTTTCGTCTTGGTGCATTTTTTGCATTTTGTCGCAAGGCCGCGTTCTTCCCACCTGGCTATGCGGGCCACTCAAGCTGAGGAGACAGCGGCCGGGGCATGGTGGCCCAGGTGTTGAGTCCATCAAGATCAGGTGTCAGAGGAGAGATGGGGTCAGAGGGGTTGATTCGTAGGATCAGTTGATCAGTTGTTCTTGACAAGACCAGCCGCTTCGAAATGTTTGGTTTGTTTCTATATAGCAGAAACCAAGAGCAAGGCCAGTCTTTGCCAGGTTAGCAGGTTGATGCAGCATCTCTAAGGTGCGTGTGGGTCTCATTCATTGCGTAGACATCAAAGAGGTGCACCTGGACATCGTGCTTTGGAAGAGGGAGACTTCAAGCGATGATTCTCACATCACTTGAAGTGGCTGTGAAACATCTCACTTGTGAAACATAATTGCAGCCAGCTTCAAGCGAGATGTGAGCTCTTGGTCATGAAGCAAAAACCTGTGTCAGGAATGGAGCCAAGCATTCGAAGCGTGCGCGTGGCACGAGTTCTTGGAGCCATGGCACTTTTGGACGAATCGGATAGAGAGGATGTTTTGCATCGCTAAGGCGAGCCAAGCTAGCCACATAGACGACTGTGAACCACCCATGTACAGCTGAGCTAGTAGTATGCTGTTAATTCTTGCTTTCCTTTGAACAAATAAAGAGACTTCCGTAGTCGGAGGAAGGGTTGTGCGAACAGCGATAGACTGCCAAAGACACGCAATTAAAGGCTCTTCTAGATGTTTGTGAAAGCACAAGGTCTGCCAAAAAGAGCTACCGACTATCATTTACTATCCATTGGCTTGCCCAACTCTAGAGTGGCATGACAACAGGAACGCTGCAGCCAACTCCCAACTTTCTTGGCACCCACCTCCTGTGCGCAGCCAGGTTGAATGTCACCAATGAGACGTACTTCCAGACACAGGTCCCAGCACAGTTCCATTGCATTTGGTCAATTCTGTTTTGCGGAAGACAGTGCATTCTTCGCATAGAGCTGTTCTTCCAGCTTTCAATGATACACCGGGATGCTCTGGGACAGGTGCCTGATTCGTTTCAGCTCCCGCTGGCAGCGAAGCTGCTGGCGATGCGAGGGCATCTCAGTGTTTGCCAGGAGGTCATCTCCATGAGCATTTGCTTTGAGTGACGGGGTCTTCCCCAAATCGATTCAAATCATGCACATCTCACATCTCTCTTTTTTGAGACTCGTTCGTGACTCGTGACTCGGTGCCGAGAAGGTCACAGCCTTTTGGTTAGTTCTTCTGAAGGGTGCTTGCTCAATTTTTTGGGAGGCAGCACTGCTGAGAGACTTCATTTGCTGCATATTCAGGTCCAACACTGTGGACGTGATCGTAGCTATCCATAGCATTGAAGACAAGACCGATCCGGAGCGGGCTGGGTGGGCGGGCTGTTGAGAGAGAGAGGAAGAGAGAAAACAAGTGCTTTCCTCAGTGAATGAGGAATAGGACTATCAGCTATCAGCTGTTCCATGGCTGCTTCTGAAGGAGCTTGAAGAATCGTTCAATTGTTGCTGCCAGGATTATCCCGAGTTGTTGCGTGGATTTCAGACTGTGGCGCTCACAGCGAACGTGCCGTGGATCAAGAGTGTGAGAGATGTTGCTGGGTCTGGCGGACTGTACGTGTTGGAATTGGCTTTTAGTCCTGAGATTGTCGACGTTTGGAAGGATGGAGCCAGTCCCGCGCGCAATCGCTGTGATTTTGAGGTGCCGATTGTCCACCATTACTTTGACGGTAAGTCCACCCCGGAGGTGCGGCCCACAGACACAAGTGCTGTGTTCACTCACAGGCATGAAGGACTTAGTCACAGTCAGGAATCATGTCCTGGTCGTGGATGAACCTTACCAACAGCATGTCAAAAATCTACAGAATCCTGGAAGGAGGTTGCAGATCGCGCTGTGCAGATGGGGGAGATCCGCCAACAGGCACTTCTGTTTTTGAGACCTTATATAACTTATATACTGTATTTTGACCTTCTTATTGATCAAGTACGACACTTAGCAAGGATTCACGAGAGGGAACAGAAGCAAGTCCAAATGCTCTTGACTTTGACCCGTGGGGCCCCTGGTCCAATTCATTGACCTCGTGTCATCTCGTGTCTCCTGCCTCCTCGCCTTTCTGCAGGCCCTCCTGGGAGGTGGACCTCGCAAGAGCATCTTCTTCGGGATCGGTGCGAACAAGCCCGGGGCCCGGATCTCGACCCCTTTGGACCGATCGGGTGCTTCGGACCTGAGGACGGGCGATCCCAAGAAAGGTGGCAAGGTGGGCTCGGCCAGGGGAGTCGCATGAGACTTGGAGTCAGAATGAGCTTTAAAAGGTGGGAATGTGAACGACGACCAAGTCAGAGTGAGTCATTTCTTTTCCACACAAAACGTGTGGTCTTGGTCGCTTCTTTGCTGTCTTGGCAGATCTACTTCTGAGCGCCACGTGGGCAGATTGCGCTTGGCCTAACAAGCCGAAGAAGGGAGTTCAAGTCCACTAGCCGAACGCAAGGTAAATTCCATTTCTCGGCCCCTCAACATCAAACTGTCGGACATGTTTTGGTCGAAGTAAAGGGAGTGCAGGCTGGAATCCCATCCGTTTGCCACATGTTATAGTTTAATTGCCAATTTGGCAACACGACGTTGCCAATTTTCCCGTAAAGCACACGGCTTTGGAATCACTCGACCAAGTTGGAGGCCAACTAGGCAGCTTTGCTTGATAGAGATAATAGAGATCGTGAGTGATTGGGAACATGTGTGGTGTTGTCAGGACTCCAACTTGGTTTTGCTTCGCGGTACAGGTTTCCAGTTGGGCCACTTCCCTGATGTCTGCGAGAAATGGAGCACTGCGAGCCGTGGGGGTGGGATAAAGTCGAGTTCCGCAACTGCGCAGGATTCCGCAACTAGGATTCCGCAACTGTTTGGCCGGATTCCGCAACTGGGATTCCGAAACTAGGATTCCGCAACTAGGATTCTGCAACTAGAATTCCGCAACTATGATTCCGCAACTAGGATTCCGAAACTAGGATTCCGCAACTGTCAAGATTCCGCAACTAGGATTCCGCAACTAGGATTCTGCAACTGGGATTCCGCAACTGGCGTTCCGCAACTAGGATTCCACAACATTGTGGACTCCCTCACTAGGATTCCGCAACTTTGTGAATGATGAGGGATGTCGAGGTCACACGATGGGGACAAGGGGGGGTTGGGGGTCGGGGGGTTGGGTGGGGGGCTAATGACGTTGGTTTGGATGTGCTTCGAAGGTGATGTCACAGGCACACACGCTATCGCATGATGTGGAGATCACCAGTTGCAAGTTTCAGAAGGCAAGTTGCAGAATCTGACTTTCCAGTTTCAGAATACCAGTTGCAGAATCTGACTTTCCAGTTTCAGAATACAAGTTTCAGAACCCCAGTTTCAGAACCTCAGTTTCAGAATCCTAGTTTCAGAACCCCAGTTTCAGAATACCCGTTTCAGAATCCAAGTTTCAGAACCCTAGTTTCAGAACCCCAGTTTCAGAACCCTAGTTTCAGAATCCGACCGATTAGTTTCCGAATCCGGCTCTAACCCGTGGGGGTGTGCTCCAAGGTGGAATCAAAGGATACCTCTCAACGGCTTTTGGTGTTTAGTCCTACTGGGAGATTCAGTCATTTCTCCCTCTTCACGGATGCAAACACACTTTTTTTCCGCTTCGGCCAAGCTGGTTCAAACGAGTGGCACAAAGGAAAATGCCATTCGTGAGCCAAAACCACTGAGATCAGACGTCAGCGCTTTTACAAGTTTGGAACTGAACACATCACATAGATGGAAGAGCGAGCTAGACAAACGTAGCTGAAGACTGATGGGCTTCATTTGGCGTGCACGACCTTACAAACACCCTCAGAGTCCCAGAGACAGGTAATACACAATGGATTTATGGAGCATTCCTCAAAGGAAAAAGACTAGATTCGCACCTTTCATATCTTTTTGTAGTTTGAAGTCAGGACTCTTTTGTCCTCTCTGGTCACCTGCATCCTGCATCCATTCGACCTTACTGGGCAGAACTTGATGCGTGCCATGTTCGGCAGGCGGGCCACCCAGTGGCCTGGGCGTCTTGGGGATCCAGGAAAAATCATCGAGATCAAGGGGCCAGCAAATGAGATTTACGGGGTGCGAGTTACGATGTTGTTTTCCTTCGATTCCTTTTCTGCAGGTGCTGCTGCATTCAGCCAGAGGATGGCCATGAACAGGAGCGGTTCACAGGGCTTGGCAAGCGGTTGTCGGACTGGATTTGCCAGTGGATTGTAGAATGATTTCTCGTTGCTTCGAACTTCTCCTCCTCCAGTTTTCACCAGGTTGACAAACAGGACGTCGAAAGACGGAGATGTTCTGACAAACTTGACCGGGGACGTCCCACCGGGGACGTCCCACCCCGGGCTATGCCGCGAGCTACGCCGGGGCTCGTGCCAGGTCTTCCACACGGCGACTCCCATGGAGTTTCCTCCTGCCGTGTGGAGTCCCAGTATTGACCAAGCGCGGACACCGACGGCCAAGATGTGGGAGCAGATACCATCGACTGCAGTCACCGCACCACTGGTTGGAATGTCCGCAGATGTGCTGCGGTTGAGGTCAGGGGTTGGACCTGTTGGTCTTGCCCAGTCTTTCCTTTCTGGTTCTAGCCGTAGTTGGCGCGGGTAGATTTTCACCTGCCTGCCGCTGCCAAGGGTGAGCGCAAGGCGCTACAAGTGCCGCCTGATTTCAGCATTCGCAGTGTGGACTCCAATGCCTCTCCAGGCTGCATGAAGTCATGAAGTCCTGCCTTTTGCCACACATGAGCAGATCCCTCCAGTTGAGCCAGAATTTTGGTAGGACAAAGCCAATCTTTGTAGGACTAGGCACACAATTGCTTGATCCTTGACACTGAAAAGCGTTCTCGAAGGCAAAGCACAGCTTCTGCAGGTGGCATTTGATATGATGTGTTGGTGACTTGGGAGTGTGCCAACTCCTCCACGGGTCAGGAGCTGGATATATCAGTCTCAGCGAGGAGCAAAAGGCGCCTCAAGAAGAAAAGGTTCTCTCAATAGTCAGTTCTCGTTCAACTTTGCGAATGATTCCTATATATGAAGATGAAGCGAATGATTCTGGACTCACTTGGAGGACTTCCTTTGTATTCATCATTGGTTCTGCTCGCTCTGGGCTCCCAAATGATTCCTGTTTTCGTTCTCCGACTCTGTCACGTTTCTCAGAGGGCAACACCTTCCAAGGTCCAAGAAGAGTACCAGGTTTCGAATCAGGTTCTCAGAAGGTGGTGAGATGGCCATAGATGAGTCTCTTCTTCTCTCTGTTTTTCCACACACGAACTGGCGAGGCCAGGGAGATGACCAAGCTTCAGCACATGATCCGGGACTTTGTCATGGAGTTCTTGCAGGCCAATGTGTTTGGAGCGGGCTCAAGCTGGTGAGGACAGAACATGGGCATTGGCCTATTCGATGCATCGCCGACGGCGCAGTGCTTTTCGGGTCGACCGACAGCGTCTGAGGGCGTTTTCTTAGATGCCGTGCTGGAAGATGGCTCTGTGGTCGGGTTCTTGAGAGGGATCGGACATGGTGGGATTCCCTGGAATTTTGGGAAAGCGCCGATGGCTTGAGCAAATCAATCTAAAGGCCAAATCTGAAGTTTTTAAGGCACGCAACCACAAGGTTTCACTCCTGAGTGGGAAGAAGGTTGAACTGAATGGATCAAACTTGCAATAATAGGCCGGCATGCCACCTTTCAAGATGAACGCAGAAGGTTGAGCTTCGGTGATAGATTTCTACGCTGCTATTTGTTGGTTTTCGTGACGTGTTGAATGAGCCTTTTGAAAGGGAAACACCCAGCATTTCTTCCAGTGAACCTCTCAGTGACTAAGGTCCCCTGCAGATGTGTCATGGACAGCAAGCTCTCAGTGCTCATGTTGCAGGTCTTGTGCTTGTAAAAAGAGTTTTTTTTGGTCCGCGTCACGAAACAGCCACGTTGCAGACTCGTGGACTCGTGGTCCAGTTCTCTTGGCCAAAGTTGGGATTCTCTTTCCATCCTCTGAGCGAATCAAGAGGAACGCATTTTTACTCCAGGTGCATGCCACGACACGGACAGTGGATTTGACCAGCATCCAGGAGAGCAGCTGACCGGTTGACGAGAAACTGGCCGTGTGTTGGTTTGAATATTGGTCTCAGGGTTACTCCTTGTTGGTGCAAGGAATGGTGCTGCTGCCCTTGCTACAGTTTGGCTTCAAGAACAGTTGTGTAATTTGTTTGAGCTATCCTGCGTCCATATGCAGTAGCTCAAGTAGCTGGTACAGCAGCAAACTACTCCCTTACTCAATTAAGTAGGCGCCTACTTAACAAAGTAAGAGCGGGCAAAACGAAGGGTTGCTCCAAACGACTGCATTGCACGCCTAGTGGGTCTGAGGAGATTTGCTCTGGAAAGGAGCTCAAGGACCTGCAGGTGCGGATCAATCATTCAGTCAATGACGTGATCCCCAGCAAAAGCGTCTCACACGAACACATGAACATGCCATAGGGCGGCAAGCCAAACACACTAACCACAATGGCAATCCAAACTGGGGAGAATCTGCCAGCTGCAGGACTTTGGGGGTATTTCTGCCAGTTCAATCAGTCAAGCTCACAAACAAAGGAAGCACCGAAAGTCGCCGTCCACGTGCCTTACACGTCGAGAGGAAGCATCGCAGAGATTCTGAGCATCTGTCGCCAACCTTTCAGAATCCTCTGTGAGTTGTTTGGAGTCCTGCTTTGTTCAGGTCACCACACCTTTGGATGACCATTGTGTGACCTTGGTCATGGCGGATGACCGATGTGTCTCCTTCAAGCCGGGCGCCCCGCTCCGCTCCTCTCCTCTCCGCTCCGCTCCGCACCGGTGCTGAGGTTCCCCGACCGACAAGGCCGTGAGCACTTCGCCACCTGCATGAAGGTTCCGGTGGAGCAGCGCGAACTGAACGGTGGAGATGGGAGGTGACCATTTGTGACCATTTGTGACCAGTTTTGTATGTGAAGCGAAAACAACGTGTGTTTGTTTAGGTTCGCCATGCTGTTCTTCTTCTGCAGGGCGCCATTTCGGGAGCCGACTCATTGACCACAGGAAATGGAAACAGGAAGATCTCCAGAGAAACCAATTTTAGACTTGGAGATCGTGGCGTCGCCAACCCTCAATGAGTTTCATTTCTTCAACTCTTCCAGGTCAGGTCATGGGCTTTCTTTCAGTGTTGTCAATCACCTTGAAACTGTCAAGGTCTCGACATACTGAAAACCACAGGTGTTGCGATTGGCTCTTGACTGAGAGAAAGAGCCAGAGCTGGCGAATTAGCTTTTATGGAATGGACTAGCGCCAGGAAGGGATCTCAGCAGGATTGTAACTTACTTGAGCTGAGCCAGCTAAGCTTCCAAGACAACATGTATGTCGATATGAGAGAGATTTGGACCGGTGCCCGAGTGAGTGAAGAGCTTGTGGTTGTGCTTTCCAATCTATGGGGGTGATTCATTTGGGATATTCCCGATTCTGTTGTCTCAATTATATATATATATATATTTTTATTGTATATATCCACGTGTTGGACTTTGACTATTTTCCAATAACACCAGAGAGCCCCACATCCGGCCTGCCGCTCCATGTTTCACCTGGCGCCAGCATTGCTGGCCGATTTCGGTGTAGAAAAGGGAGGTATCCGTTGGGGGGTTGCAAACCTGGTTCTTAGCAACCTGTAGAGGGCCAAGCATCAGTGGCCTTTGCTGAAACCTGCAGGTAGAGGGGCTACCAGGATTTTCATGCTGTGTCTTGATTCTGTGCACAGGAACGGCACCCATTGCAAGTTTGCCTCTGATGGATTCCCCACCGTCGTGTGAACAACTGGGTGACTCTCGCCCCCGTGCAGCAAGTGAAAAGGTGCTGGGAAGTTGTTGGAAAGATTTGGACAGACCGATAGAAGACTCGTCCTGTTTTGGTGCTGAAAGCCTGGCTTGGTCAGAAAGAAAGCCGTGGTGGTTAGTAGACCATTCAGTAAAGGGCTTTGGATATTTAGCGTATCGAAGTTATTCAGAGCCATGTCAGGGTGTCTCAGGTGAGATGGTCTTGGACGGTCTATGTCCACCCCCCCGTGCAAGCGAATCACCTCTGTCTTGGCTCAAATGATGTCCAAAGCACTGCCCCCTGTCGATGTTGGGAGGGCCCTCAGGCAGGCACAAAGAGCAGCATACAGATATCAGAAGGGCCTAGAGACGTGTGTACTGGTTGCAAGCGACATGTTGGCCTATGGATTCCATTGGACTGCTTTTTCTCTTTTTGGAGGTTTTGGCGTTGCAGCAGTCGAGCTTGTCCGTTGCCGCATGTCACTGTCACCAAGCTTCCGCCAGGGATCGTGCTGTAATGGCCAAGTCAAAGTTTGGACACCAAGCGCGCACGTGTACGGAGAGCGAACTCTCTCGCGTCCGTGGCCGAGGATTGTCGAGGTTTTGCTGCACTGGCAATGGTGTGAGCCCTTTCATATCCTTTCATAACTCAAAGGACACCCTTTGACTCTTGGAAGGTTCCATATGGCTCATGGCCTTCAAGACTGACATGGCCTTCCACACGCTTCCAGCATGGCTAGGAGAACCACATGCCTAGGAACTGTTTATCCTCCTGCAGATTAACATAGATCCACTGCAGGAGTTATTCTCTTTTTGCCATCTGAGGGCCTGGATGCAGCCATTAGGTCTTGTTTTGCGAGGTAACGAGCTAGCCCTTTTCTTCAGACCGACTGCTGTTTCACTCGGAAAGCACAGGTGGCTGGCTCCGGTTCTAGCGCTGGCAGCCAGGGATGCCTGGTGAGGATGGTTTTGCTGGGGAAAGCACGTTCATCCCAGCTCACGAGTGTCACATGGGCACCTTGAACGTTGATCAGAGGAGTTTGCTGCGTCAAGAAGCGCGGGGGCTGCATGAGATGACCCTCCATGGTTGTTTCTCAAACGCAAGCTTTAATCCAATCCCAGGCGAGCGTGAGTACCCATTCCACACTTTATTTGGTCAGTGCTAGGCTCTAGATGCGATCCCACTCAGAATGTACACGGATCTTGGCGAGTAGACAAGGGGGCCTCGCTGTGCGTGAGCTGAGGCCGTCTTGGTTGGCTCTGGCTCGCTGCAGTTTGTAAGTGGAACACTTAGCTGAACTGATCAAAGTGTGTTGACTGAGCTGCTGGCACCATGTGTGGTATGATATATTGGGGTAGCGTGTTGTGAAGCCTCTTTATAAAAGTCGTTCTGCCACCCAAGAAGATCCAGAACTCTACGATTTCAATCTCCTTTGGCTTCATGAGTCTTCGAAGGCTACAAGGCTGCACAGGTCACTGAGCTCAAGCGGGGCATGTTGGCCAAGGCCCACTGACCGGGCCACGTGTTCTGGGCACCGCACCAGAGCTTGGGAGGCACGGAGAGCGCAAGGACGGCTTGGACTGCGCGGACAGTGCAGGAGTCAAAGGGTGATGACAACTCTGCCGGTGAAGGGGAGATCCAGACACCGGCTCGAAGGCAACTCCGAGTGTTGTCCACTCAGCACTGAGCTGACTCACCTATGGACCTATGAGAAACAGCATCTGCTTGTCAACATTGAACCTCAATTTCATTTCAGGAAACGGTATCAGAATACTACACCTGGCTCCAGTGCTGCAGCTGGCAACAACTGAAGATGACAAGTTGAGAACGAAGATTGATAACAAGGAATAGTCAACGTCAGTTTGATGATAACAATGTTCCGTTTCACCCGTGCTCCACTGCCTAACCCCATAGCTCATGTCAATCAGATGGTTGTTCAATTTTGACCATGCCGTGGTGGCGTTGATGTGGGGCCGATGGCTGTGTGTTGCAAAATCGATGTATACATATACATATATACATATATATATATATATATACACAAGAAGGCGCAAACCACTGTGCCCACTACTCCCCTGCAGATCAACATGGAACCCCAGGACTACTGGGCTGTAGGGGAACATGGTCCTCAGGGTCCCTGCTACTCTTCGTGCCGGTACTCAGGGGATCAGCACTTCTGAGCGACGTGCGGCCCACGAATCCCTTCGGTGCCACCGTCGGCCCTGCGGTGCTTTGTGTGGCAGCGCTGGCGCTGGTGGCCGGGAAGGCGCGCGGGCCAGCGCTGGTGGCCTGCGGCGTGGTGGGTTCGGACGTTGCAAGGGGGGAGTGATGTCTTATTGGGATTCAGGCTGAGCTCGTGGCTACCAGCATTTGGTCAAGAACAGAGTTGCTGGGCTCGTTGTGGCCTAACCAGTGGTTCCGTAACGTTCAGCATGTCTTCTTGTGGCCAATTCTGGATGCTTGATGATGCTTGTATATCATGGGCTTAGGTGTGAAACGACATATGCATAGGCGCAAACGCTGAATGTAGACAGTGGCGGATTGCTTGGGGTTCGTTGATTTGGCCGCAGGCTCAACGATCCGTGTGCAGAGCGATTCCAAACCCTCATGTGATTCCAGCCACTTGGATCGAGCATGTTTGCGCTTGGAAACGTAATCTGATAACGAGATGGTTGAATGGCCAGACGACTCGGCCAGAGGACACACCTGCTATGCCATGCCGTCAATGCCAATGAGGAATCACTAGATCCACCAATCCAATGAGCAAACTTGCGACTTTACATTGATCTTTTCCACGCGCTTGTTACTGCCGGCTTTCCGCCCGATTTGGTCCGAAGTACTCAGGTCGTTGACCTCTCAGGGAAAAAGATTGGCCGGGTGGTCCCAGCGAGCTGACTTTGACAGAAAGTCCACAGATGCATCAGGTACATCCAAGGTGTTTGCATGGAGCATGGCATTGCCATGACTCATTCAATGACTATCTTATCTACTGTATATAGTCCTTTCCTCTTTGTGCTGTTCTGGTGGGATGATGTCGAGTGCATTTTGAAGTATCAGGGTAGATTCCACCCAAACAACGTGGTTCAGGCAGTGAACTTTGTAGGGCTTTCGAAAGCCCCGCTCCCTCCGTCCGTGAACCGACTCATCGTTGTTCGTGGATGGCGGATCAGGTGAAGAGGAGCTTCAGTTCCAAACCTTTAGCAAACAGACTGCGAACTATGTGGTGCACCAGGCCTTGCAGTCCTTATTCTTCTGTGTCGTGCTTTTGCAAAAGCTATTTTTAGGTGTTCCGGATGATTGAAATGATTTTCAAGCAGTTGCGTCGTTTGCAGCCATTTCAATCCATCTCGGCGGGGTCCAATTCATCCCTTCCCATCCCTTTCTTCCGCCATGGCCAAAGTGCGCACTGCCGCTGATGCCCCCATGGCTCCTGAGGAGGCCTTGAAGCTCCTGAAGGAAGGCAACACTCGCTTCATCAATGGCGCGCCCAAGAACACTCGTACCAACGAAGCCATGCGCCAGCAGCTGGTGGACCAAGGACAGGCACCCCACACGGCCATCATTGGCTGTGCCGATTCCCGTTGTCCTTTGGAGACGGTCTTCGACAGCCTTCCAGGAGACCTCTTCGTGTTGCGAAATGCAGGCAACACATGCACCCATGCAGAGGGCTCGATGGTGGGCAGCTTGGAATTCTGCACTGGCAAGTTGGGTGCTCGCATGATCTTGGTCTTGGGCCACACCAAATGCGGTGCCGTTTATGGTGCAACCAATGCCTACTTGCAGGCCAAGAAGGATGAGGTGACCTCCGTGAACTCTGCCCTGGAGGGTCTTTTGCTGGACTTGGCTCCTGTGGCAGAGAAAGCCATGAGCGACATGGGTGCCAACACTGATGCAGAAGAGATCGCTGCCCATGCTGTGAAGGTGAATGTCTTTCACACCATCGACTTCTTGCTGAAGTACAGTGCTCCCATCCGTGAGAAGGTGAAGAGTGGACAGGTTGAGATTCAGGGAGCCGTCTACCACCTGGACACCGGCAAGGTCGCCTTCATGGGCCGGTCTCCACAGCAGGCCGAACTCTTGAGCTCCAACTTGGGCCTTCCGCCCTCCATGAC